GGGGACAGTTGGTTTGTAAATAGTAGAGCAGTGGAGAGACATGAAATGAAAAGGTGCCCAAAGAAAGCTCCATCTATTTACATTATGATATAGAGGGTGTGGAAATAACAAAACTTTGCAAGGGAGGTTTGTACAAAATCATCAGAGCTCTAGCAAAGGAAAAAGTTTATTAATTCCTTTTCCTTAAATGAAAAATAAATCTTATTTTCAGAATCAGGAAGAACTAGAAGTGGAATTTCTACTGGATAACATGTGAGTAAAGCCTAAATGTTACAGAATTTGTCATCAGAAGACTTAGTGTTTTAGAGGGAGTGGTAATGCAGCATTAAGGAATTGGCCCCATGTACCTGTGCTCAGACAGCCCATCTCGGCATCTCCCCCATGGTTGCTTTCCTCTCCTGAATTGGGTGAAATCCCTTCTTGAATGGCAGTCTCGCTTCACTTACGGTGTATAGTTGAGAATGAGTGTTTATTGTGTAATTCAGCCTAAGGAAAGATGATGCTGATCAGGGGAGATAAGGGAGAGAGACTGTCCCTGGGAGCTATGGGACCACCAGAGAACACAAGATGGAGCTGAAAGACAGAAGTGGTAGCAGGCAGCTAGAAAAACTGAGCCCAGAGAAACACTTGCATTGAAAAGATCATTGCTTGTATACCCACTCCTAAATAAACCTTTCCCTTTTTGCTTTTCAGTCCAGGTGTATCTGAAAACATCGTTACTAATGGCGTACTGGTGGTAATTGTTTTATCTATTTTTATGCTGATGTTCTTATGGTAGGGCAGAACTGAGGGATGTAGTTGGAAGAACTATGCCCTTAGGCCTGAACTGGTTTTGTGACCAGTGATTTTATCTCTTCCAGTCTCGTGAAGTTTCCTGCTTGCGAGTACATGTGAATGAAATGAAAATTAAGAGCCCTTACACAAGTGAGGTTATTGATTTAAATTGCTTGTCACTACTTTTTGTGCTGTGGGAGATGTAACTGAATCTAGATAAATACTCGATCTGTTCCAGTCTCTGTTTTTATTGGGCCTGCTTGGGGATTGCAGTGTTTCCTGTATTACCTACTTGCTAATAGTAAGAATCTTCTGGAGATGGTGTGACTGAGTCTGGAAGACTCAGAACATCGCTGCAGTGTGATGGAAATGAAATACTGTGACAAGAACAAAAAGTAAAAGAGGGGAGACACAATGGTGAGGAGTGGAAATTCAGGGGTGTGAATTCTGCTAGTGGCATCCACTAGTCTAACACATGGTCTCTGCTGCTTGGCAGGGAAGAAACTGCAGTGCCGCACCAGCTTTTGCTGCTTATTCAGTCTGGCCCCTGTTCACACTGATTGTGGGGGAAGAAAAACATTGTGGCCCAAATTAATGTTGACTGCACAAAGGCTGAAACTTTACTTGGGACATTTTTATTTGCTGTTTTTCAGGGCTAGATGCAATTAACATTTCTCTGCTGTTTCCTGCTTGTTTTTAGGGAGAGATTTCACTTTTACGATGAAAAGATCCTATGAAGAAACCCAGGATGTTTCCATCGGTCCTCACTGCAGATTGGGCACCAGTGAAACCATCATGTTCCACTACATGAAACACAGCCAACCCAGACTGCACATGAAGCTGCCAAAAGAACATTTTTTCTGTGGTGTATGTTTTGTTTGTGGATGGGCATAATGGCTAAAGTCACTTTTGGGAGAAGCGTGGTAAATTAGACCTTCTCTGGTAGAATTGTACCTATGGGTTGTAAACAACTTTGTCTTTATAACATTTTTTTCCCCACTTTAATTCAGTGTGGCTCAGCTAGGAAGGAAATCAATGCAAATCATACCCTGTCTGTGCCTCTCCATTCTCTGGACTTGGGAAAGAAAGTGACAGTGATGAGAGTGAGTAACCTCTGACAGCATTTGGAATTATTTCAGTGGGTGTAAGCTGTATCTATGTGATACCCAGTCCGTTATTAATTTTGTTATTACAAAAATACTGAGTTATACATAGGCTCAGCTCTGCATGTACTTGAAAATGTATCTAATTCAGGGAAAAAATAGCATATTCAGAACTGCTGATTGCTTTAGAAGTATTTTAAAAGTGGGATCCAAGTGATGGTTGTATGCAGAAAGCCTGAGAAGAGACCGAATACTTACTGTTAGACTACATATTGGAATAAATGCTAATATTGTAAAACTTGCTTTTGCAAACTTTCAATTCTACTTAAAATTTATGGTATTTTCATTCTTGATTCTCAGGGTGAAACTTATGAGGTGTCCGTGAAGGAAGAAGAGGGGTAAATCTTTTATTTCTTTCAAATGATTACTTAGGCCGCCTCCTATCCCTTTGTAGTATCATCTTTGGATGAAAGGAAGTTACAGCTTAAACTAGCTCATTTAGAAACAAGGAATGAAAACTGTGATTGGTTAAAGACTAAACTATGGGGAAGGGTTAATAAAATGATACATATTTTTAAGTTGGTTGGTAAGAGTTCAGCATAGAGTAAGTGGTAGTTAGTCATGGGGTATAACCAGTCACAATGTTTTTTCGAATGTTGATGCTTCCCAAATTTTGATATTTAAGAATCATTCTGTCTTGTATCCTTTGTCTATAATACATACACTTTTGTGTTACACATTTCTAACATGTTTCTAACACCGCTATGCATTCACCAGTCCTCTGCAGGTAATTTTCCAATGAAACGAGTGGGCAGTAGTTAATTTATTGACTGGTTTGCAGTGATTTTCTGAAGGGCAACATTACCCCCTAGTGACTCCTTAGCTACATTGCAAGCATTGATGGCAGACGACATAAACCAGGTTTTACTGAGTATTAATTATAAGTCACAGAAGGGAAAAAAATAACCTTTTGGCTGAAATCCAAATGTGAAATAGTTTAGGACATGATTCTGGTCTAAAATCTCCAACGAAGGAAGAAATACATAGCCTGTGATATCTATATACCTGCTTTCATTTGCATAGGAGAACCTTCATGTACATGGAAGTAGCCTTTCTTTAAATTAGTTTATTGCTGCTGGTTTTGTTTGATTTCTCAAGCAGTACCTCTAGAAATAGCTTATGTGTCTTATGGCTTGTTATGGCATAATGTGTCCTGTTCTTATGCTGTAGTTGCAAGAATTTAGACTTGCGGTTGGGTTTTGATCTATGTGCAGAGGAGCAGGATTTCATCTCTAAAAGAAAGAAGGTGGTTGCTGCTGCTCTGAAAAATGTTCTTCACTTAGATGAAGACCTGCAGGAGGATGAGGTATTTGGGGACAGCATCCTGGGAACTTACAGCATTCTGTCCCACTTTGAATGAATTGGATATGATGTACTTGCATGACTACCTGTATAACTCTTCCACATCTTCTAGAATAAAATGTGTAGACCAGTTCCTTACTTGCACCTAAGACCATATCCTATAATTTTTGCCACTGAGAGAATGAAAGAGAAACTGTCAGGAGGTCAGTTATAGCTGACTTTAGCCTCGGCCAACCTCTATCCTCACTTAGGAGCACCTAAAGAACGTATTCGTTGAGATGAATGTATATAGGTGTATACAGGCCTGGTGAAGTTCAACTTCTTGGACTGAGAGCATTTCTCCTTAGTTTGGCACCTCTCCCCTTCTCTGTTGTTACACAAGGCTCGCAGAGGAAAGCTGCTACTCTCCCTTAGCACACTGGTAGAGAAGGTTTCTTTATACTTTTTCTCTGCTCCTCTGACCCCAGTTATACTCAGGATTTTAAAATGTGTTTTGAGGGAAAACATAAGGAGAAATGAAAAACACCCAGAAGAGACTCTTTACAAATCTGAAAATAGATTGTGCCATACAAGAGCCACACTTACAGCTTTTGGCTTACCAAAGTGTAGCCGATCAGGAAGATGCTTTCAGCATATGCTATGCCCCACCAAAGTTTACACAGCTCAAACACACTTAAGGGGCTACCATGAAGAGGGTGAATTGAATTCAAACCTACCTGAACCAGGCAGTTGATGTCACTTTTTCTGCATGCCCATCACTTCTCTATTTCACCTGTTGATGAACGACTTTGTGCCTTTGTGTGTTGAGCAGGTGCCGGTGGTGGCAGTCATGACCACAGCAGGGGGAGTGCGGTCCATGACGGCTATGCTTGGCAGTCTCCTGGCTCTCCAGGACTTAGGTGTTTTGGACTGTGTCTCATACATCAGTGGTTTATCTGCCACCACATGGTAAGAAGAGCAGGGCTTGTGCTTGCTGTTTGTATTAGCAGAGTGATAGCATAGTTAAGTGTATTGCCTTGCTGATGAATTTTACTCAGTGTCATGTTGGGACTTGGCTTCCTTTCGGTGCTCACCCACTTCATGGCACCACTCAGTGCTGTAGCTTTTATTTCTTCTAGCTACAAGAAACCGAGTAAGAACTACTGTATTTCTATACTGGCACTGAAGTGTGTACAGAAATGAAAAGAGCACGAGCCAGAATGGTTTACCTGTATCTCCCTGCAGCTCAGTGTAGGTGACAAACCCAACCATAGCTGTTCTGTGGCTTGGATACGTGCCTTTCTGCCATGTCATACATTATGACTTCTCCTGGGGGCTGGACTTGTTTCTGTCATAAACTTGGTGCTGGTGCAGAGAATGGATGGGAAACATGGTTATTTTTTGATCTCCATTTCTCATGTCCTAGTTACCTGGCAGAAAAGACTCCTGTGCTAAGATGGGGAGTAGAGGTGTCTTGGTGTTCCACTTGGAATGAAAAGTGGTTATTTATGGCTATCAACAAAAGACTGAATAGGACCTGGTAGTCCAAAAAGTTGAGCATTTTCTTGGGAATGAAAGAAATGGGGGTCGCTTCCTGGGAGAGGAGTAAACCTTTTGATTGCCAGTGCAGGCAAATCAGGTGTTAATCATGAGTCAGAGAAGATGCAGCAGATGTGCAAGAGAAGCAAGGCAGCTGGAATCCTGGGGATTTGAGTCTCTGGAAGGACACAAACCCAATCCCCAAGCATGCTTGAGAACAATAAGGAAATTTAAGTAGGGAGATAATGTTTTCCCTTCCTTTGTGTAAGTCTTGGGTTATCAGTTGCATGTAACACTTGAGAAATCTTGTTATATTTGTCTGGCACAACTCTTACAGAGCTCTGAAAAGGAGAATTTAAAAGAAAAGCCCTGAGAAACATGGAGTGTCATGCACACAGTGTTGACTTGCACAACTAGCAGCATTCTAGGGCTCTAAAACGTTTTGCCACTGGAGAGCTACTCTAAAAAGATACATGAGACAGAACCAGAACAACTGGGGTGGGGATGAGAAGGGATGGCCAGAAGCTGCCTGAACTGGCAGCTGAAACCTCAAGCAGACTGGCCCTGTGTGTGCCGAGAGTCTGAGATGAGCTGCCTGCTGTATGCCCAAGGAGAGGAACTCCTGCACTTGGCCAGGGCAATGTTTGCTGCTAAAATCCTGCTTAACATTTCACATAGTGTCTGAGACAGCTGAGGGACTGGCCTCAGACAGAAGTTGCAGCTTGAACCTAGACAATCAAAGAGTAATTCTAGCGAAAGTATGTGTTAAGTTATGGGTGTTGCTTTATGACTCTTGATTCTGAGAAGAAACAAGCTAGGATGATTTTGAATGTATCCCTACAGCATAAATACTGTTTTATAGTCTAAATTCTGACTGAGCTTTGAACTGTTCTTCCAAGGTAAAAGTTGGAGGGTGAGAGTATTGTGTGCACTGTGAAACAAAACACCTTTGTATGGTATAAGCCCATGAACTGTCACGTACTCAGTGATGAATCACAGTATATTTCTTTTTACCAGGACCATGGCTAAGTTGTATGAAGATGCAAATTGGTCACAGAAGGATCTCAGAGGGCCAATTGGTGGTATCAGGAACCATGTGGTCAAGAGCAAGATGCACTGTTTCTCACTGGATCATATGAAATACTATGAAAAGGAGCTTTGTGAAAGAAAGCAAGAGGGGCACAAGCTATCCTTTACAGATTTATGGGGACTCTTCATTGATTGTATGCTACATCATCAGGTATTATATATCCATCACTTATTCCAGAGGATTTCTAACTTTTCATGGTTAAAGTTCTGTATTAGTAATAGGAAGGGCTCTCAAAATTTCTGAGGGGTCTTTCTTTGGTTTTTTAGAAGAAAAATAAGACAGTAAACCTAAAATGTAAGCATCTAGGGGAAATGTCTGAGCACGTAAAAAGCCAAGGTGTTAGTGGAACTGATATTCCACCTTTAGTTTCAGATCAAGTGAGCACTCTATTAACATACAGAGGAGAGGTGGCTCTGACAGAGCTGGGTTCAGGCATAACAATATATAACCATACCAGCAAAAAAAGCTTCATTGAATGAAAAGGGCTCTGGCTGACTTATCTGCAGCACCTCCAAGGTAGCTAAATAGCTTTATCTTTCCTTAAAGCAAATCAGACAACTTTCTCACATTTTCACTCTGTCTCCTATTCCAAAATTCCAGGAAGCATCAGTGATAAAGGTTGATGATGGATAACGCATGAACACATTTGTGAGGTCAAAAAACTGAGGCACATAGAACAAAAGCTGCTGAGATTTAGGAGATGTTTCATTGGTTGTCCATGCTTAGATACATCCATGTGTGATATTTATCTTTTACAACAACTTCTGTTCTTTATAAACAGGGAAGTACTCAGAAACTCTCTGACCAGCAGCTGGCAGTAAATCAGGGGCAGAATCCACTGCCCATATACCTGTCCCTCAATGTCAAGGATGACTTTAGCACTCTGGATTTTAAAGGTAATGATTATTATAGACACTTCCGTAAATCTAAGGAGTTTCCTTTTGATGCGATCAGCCAAGGTTTAGTTGGGTTTTGGTTAGAGGGTTTTTTTTAAGCTTCACAAGGTGTGACTATGACAGTGTAAGAATGGATGGCAGCTCGTGTCATTGCTGACTCAAAAGAGTAAAAAACACCTTGCGCAAGGCCTTAGGAATTGGTGGACTCAGACCCAGTTTTTGCTTCCTACTACAGAAATGGACCCAAACCTCAAGCTGAATGGGTTTTCACAGTGTTAGTGGAAGAGATGAATTTAGCTTTTGCATTCACCAATCTAACAAGCAATGTATTGAAGTGCACCCGTTTGTTTCAAAACATGATGGTTTGAACAGTCCATCACCAACATGCTGAAGCTACAGGCCTTTTTGTTCCAGCTTTTGATTCTCTAAGCTGTTGTTTTAACATGTGTTCAGGTGTCTGCAATAAGTCCTTCTTGATGCCTTATTTGCAGAGTGGGTGGAGTTCACACCTTACAAGGTGGGTTTCCTGAAATATGGGGCCTTTGTTCCTTCAGAGGATTTTGGCAGTGAGTTCTTCATGGGTCATTTGATGAAGAAGATCCCAGAGTCCCGAATCTGCTTCTTGGAAGGTGATTTACTATCTCAGAAGAACATCATTTTTACAACCACATAATTGGCCACAAACAGCTGTCATCTAATAACTGCTCGTTTGCAAGCAGCAATGGTACTACACTGGATAATGTATCTGATGCAATTTAAATCTCAAATGAACCAGCCAAAAGTGACAATGATGAAGCAAGTTTTTGAAATAGATGCAGTTAATATCCTGAACTTCTTAGGCCAGACCAAAACAGAACACACAGACTGGAACTGATCTTTTAAAATATTTTAAATCACAGTGACTTTTATAAACAGCCAAGTTTCTAAAATGTCCTAGCTGTAAGTCAGACATTATGTGTAATGGCATGGCATTTGATAGTCCTAGTGAAATTTATAATGTTTCATAACTAAAACAATGCTAATTTAAACAGCCACAGAGATTGAATCCAAGTAGGTTGTCACAGCTGTACTCTAAAAAATCAAAGTAGTATTAAGTATGTTTTTTTAATTTATTTATTTTTAATATAACTTTCAAGGCACATGGAGTAATATATTTTCCCAGAATTTTATGGATGCTGTCTACCTCTCTGGCCATTCAGAGGACTTCTGGCACAGATGGACCCGAGGCACTGAGTATGACATTGGTTAGTTATTTGGATTACTTTTCACTTGCATCTGCATTGTCTTCATGCCTCTCTGAAATTTAAACCCTCACACTGGGTAAAGGGTTTGGTTTTGTGTCCTATTTCTGGGATAGGGGACACTAAGCCTTTGGGAATGAAGTAAAAACAAGAGAGAAACAGTTGTGCTGGAAAACAGGAAACAAACATTGGGTTGTTCTCTGTGCAACATCCCTGGGGAGTTTTGTTAGTCACAAGAGGGTTACCAAGAGTCCTTTGGGGTGGGGGAGGCCAGGCAGGAAAACAACAACGTGCCACTGAAACCCATCCCTGCCCAGAACACTCTGTATGTTGATGGATGCACTTCATCACAGATGGGGCTGTGGTGGGTTGGCTGCTCAGGTCCTCTTTCTCTGTTGTTGTTAATATCAGAGCAGCACACTAAACAAATGCAGATGTACACCCTCTTCTCATTCTTCCTGCAGAGGAAGACCCTGCTCTGCCCAAGAAGCCTCATGAACAGGCAACTTGCTTATCCGTTCCCAAAGGCTGCCTTTCCAATGCACTTCGAGAAATGATGACTGGACGGCCAGTGGTTTCCACTTACCATAATTTCCTCAAGGGCTTGCAGCTACATGACAAATATTTAGACAATGAGAGATTTCACATGTGGAAAGGTAATAGTTAATTTTTTTTAGATGCATCTTTGAAGGTGATTTGAGTGCTGATACCTGCTGAGAACAAATATTTGGTAAGTTTTAGCATAAAGGCAAATTTTAATTAATATTTCTTTAATATGTCTTAATTAATATGCAATTACGGTGAAATTGGTTTTGCTGAGCCCCAAATGATTTATTGCTGGTCTCATTTCTGTCTTGGAGAAGCCACAGCAGGCTTGCTTGGAATCTATTCTTCCTAGAGAAAACTGAAAAAGAATGACTTTCAGCTTCTACTGAACCTAAATAACCACAATTTTACACCAGTTGAAAAAGCAGCTTAAATATATCTCTTTGGATGAAGCCAAGTCTCAAAACTGTTTCCTCTTAATGATCTCAGAGTTGAGCTATAGATGCTAAAACTGTGCAAAGAAAAGTATTCAGCTGTGGCTGCTTTGTGCCAAAAGGCTTGTCTTTTCTTCCTTTCATTGTTATGCTGATCTTGGGGGGGAAAAATGGACTTGTCCTGCAGTAACTCATTGATAATATAAGTTTTTTGACTTTCAGACACAGTGTTGGATTCTTCTCCCAACCAGCTGAATGAAATGGATGACTACCTCAAGCTGGTAGATACAGCTTTCTTCATCAACACCAGCTGCCCACCCATTCTGAGGCCAGAGAGGAAAGTGGATGTCATTTTGCACTTAAATTACAGTGGAGGATCCCAGACTCTGGTGATGTTTTGTAATAGTGATTCTCTATCTTGATCACTCCAACACCTGAATTTACCACTATTCTCTCTTTTCTTTTTCTTCACACTCCCTCCCCGCCCCCAATGGTTTGTTTTTTACTAAACTAAATGACCATATCAGTGGTGCTACTCAACACAGTGACCATAATGTCTCCATCTTTATCAGGGCTATTTTCAGTAGCTTTCTGGGACACATACATGGACACAGACATGTGGAAGAATACCTATTCTGAGTATCTGCACAGATTTGTCATTGTGGCACTAAGTTTCTCAATAGTTAGTAAATAACTTTAAAAATGTAATTAGCTAATACATAATTCTGCTGGTTTTGATGAAAAGTTGGAATTTTTCTTTTATGTTTGATTCCTGGTGTTCCCGTAAGTTTCAGTCAGACTTTTGTTTTGTTGTGTTTGAAGAAAGATTGAGGGCCATGTATGATTGGAATAATGTAATTTATTTGCAGGAGGACGTGAAGACACTGATTGTTAGATGCAGTGAATGCAAATACTCAAGAACCTATGATCTCAGATATCATGTGTAATTAAAATTTCCTGACCCAAATCCTCTACTGTGCCTACTAAATCACAAAACTTATGTGAACATCATACAAATTTCAGAAAACAGTAATTTTCCTTTAAAAATGCCTGGTGTTAGCAAATCAAACAAATTTCTATTACCCAGGATATATTGAATGAAGAGGGTATGTTTGTTCTAATGCATAGGTAGTCCTGTATGTAAACATATAAACCAATTGCAGATTGCCTAATGCAGGAAAATATCAGCTATGGGTCTTGGTAACCTTATTTCAACCTCTCTTTGTGTTGCAACTCTCCGCTGTTGAACCAGCCACTGGACCTATTCTCAGAGTACTGTTTGGAGCATGGAATCCCATTCCCCAGCACCGAGCTGAGACAGGAAGAGAATGCTATGTGTTCGAGGACAGCTTAGAGGCACCAGTCTTGGCCTATTTCCCACTGGTGTGTGATACCTTCCAAAAATACAAGGCACCGAGTAAGTTAACAGCATTAATTAATCCTTTGTTTTTAGGTTGTCATATCGAGTTTATCCATTGAATTTGTTCCTCTTCCAAGAGGCTGGTAAGCTTCTTACTTGGCTAAATTATCACATTCTCAGTCCTGTTGTGATGGACTACTAATACATCACAACAGGCCAATTAATCAGGGATTGAACTGAAGTGTTCCAAAATTGAAAGCATGAATAGTTGTAGCTTGAGGCAAATCTGGCATCTGCGACAGTTTGCATTCCTTTGATGATAAAGGATAAGAGGCAGCTAGTAAGTTATATCCACTGGTAGCTAACACTGTTACTTAAGAGTCTTGTAATGACATACTATGTTTACTTTGTTAACAAAGCTAGAATCTTCTCCATGTATTATGTGAAGAAAATGTGAGACTATAAAGTGCTGGAAATACTCAGTGACTGAAAGAATTTGCCAGGATAACAGGCTGCTGTATCTGTCGTTTCTGAAAAGTTACCAGATTGTTTTCTTTAGTTCAGCAATAGAATAAATAGTGATTGTTTGTTTCACCAGGCAAACTGCTTGGCTGATTCAGTTTCAGTTTACAGATAGTTTTGCATGCATCAACTCAAATTTCCTTGTTGATGTTTTAGTATGATCCAGGAAACTTTCATCAAAAACTGAACAAAAATCCAGGTACCAGTTCACTGGAAAAAGAAGTCATGTAGTTTGTCATCTCATTTGTCCTGCTGTATGTGTTTAAAATGTCAGGCACCTGAGAGGAAGAACCATTTGGCAGATGAGGAGCTGTCATATCAGTACCCAATGGCAAAGTTAAAAATACAAAATTCCAAACCTGCAGTACTGAAATATTCTGATGGACAATTTTAATTTAGAGAGGAAAGCATTTTGCATGGAAAAGTTGTACTGCCAGTCAATTCTGGATCAGATGTTGTCCTGGGTTCAGCTACAGCAGTCATTTTTTCTCCTTCTTAGTAGCTGGTGCAGTGCTGTGTTTTTGACTTTCAGTCTGGGAACAACGCTGATAACACCAATGTTTTTAGTTGTTGCTCAGTAATGTTTACTCTGACCAAGGACTTTCTCAGTCTCATGCTTTGCCAGGGAGGAGGGGAAGCCAGGAGGAAGCAGAGGCAGGACACCTGACCCAAACTGGCCAAAGGGCTATTCCATACCACAGCACGTCATGCCCAGTATATAAACTGGGGGGAGTTACCCGGAAGGCCAGATCGCTGCTCGGGTCGGGCTGGGTATCGGTCGGCGGGTGGTGAGCGGTTGTGTCCTTTTCCCTTGTTATTCCTCTTATCATTATTATCGGTAGCAGTAGTGGTTTGTGTTATACCTTAGTTACTGGAGAGCTGTTATCTCAACCCGTGGGAGTTACATTCCTCCGATTCTCCTCCCCATCCCTCTGGGAGCGGGGGGAGGAAGGAAAAGAGGGGGAGTGAGCGAGCGGCTGCGTGGTTCCAAGTTGCCGGCTGGGCTTAAACCACGACAGATGTGTAGTCAAGCAGTGAAGCAGTGGATTTCATGAGTGCAGCAGATGTAGTCTCTCTACTGTAATTAAAGCTTGAATAATTTTCCTGTGACAATTCCACTTCTTGTGGCTGTTATTGTGTATTTTACATTGCCTAGTAAGAGTCTTCTTCAGTAACACTGCTGTGTTGAACTTTATGTTCTCATGTCAGATGTGGAGCGCGGTCCCTCAGAGATGGAGGAAGGAAGAGTAGATGTCTCCAACTGTATTGCTCCCTATGCCACTGGTCTGCTGACATACAGTGAAGAGAATTTCAACAAGTTGCTGAACCTGTGCAGTTACAATATCCTGAATAACAAACATTTAATTCTTCAGGCTTTGCGTACTGCAGTGGAACGGAAGAAGCGTTTAAAAAACTGTTCATCACCTCAGTTGTCTAAACTCTCTTAAAGTATATTTTGACCAATTTCATCAGAATAAGATATACAAATGTTTGGGTAATGGACTAATAAATTTATATTCAGGAAATATAAATCCATGCAGAATTAACATCCACGTTAGCTTGCTAAAAAGAATATTATATGTTTTATTCAGTACTGTATATAAGGACTGATGTTGGTTCTGCCAAGTTATTGGCAAGTCATGATTACTTTAAAAAAGTTCTTAATGTTCTAGGGAATGGAAAGGCAGTTGTAGAGCTATAGGGTCCTATTTGGATATACAGCCATATAAGAATGAGGTTTCCACACCACAAAAGTCTGTGCCAGATTTGGAAGCAAATCTTGGTGGTACGTGGTCTTTGAACTAGAGCCGAAAGGAAAGATCAAACAAAGCCTTGTCTTGTGCACAGATCTCTGCTTGTGACACTAAGGAGTAAACCTGATTCCAAAACTACTTGCATTAGGAAAAGGAAGGCTGAGAACTGAAGAATGATCTCTGTTTTCTCAGTGTCTGTCTGTTAGGCAGACCCTAACCTTCAGTGAATTTGCCTGCTTTGCTGTCACTGCACTGAGTCTACATTTTGAGGGACTACCCCAATGTGATCAACATGTAACAGCCTGATTTTCCTGCCAACTGCCTGATAAAAATCATCTGTCTGCATCCATTTTTGCTGAACTTCTCTCTATTGCCTACCAAGTAGATTTTGAAGTTGAGCATAGCAGTTAAGGTCAAAACCTACACACAATGGGTTTGGAAAAAACCAGTTTTAACAGCCTTTGGCCATAAATATGTCTTCAGTTTTAATCTGCTGCTCACAGATGTTTTTGATTGCTTGTGATCTTTCGACATCTGCAATGTTATGGTGTCAGTGTTATTCCTACTGCCATTCAAAACAGACAGGAGAGTGTTCATGAGATTTCATACTTTAGATAAATACTTATTTAAGAAAACATATTTAACTGTCATTCTTAAATCTTATTTTATCTTGTATATATCAATATACATAGTGTGTAATAGCTACCTTTTAAATACCAAGTACCCATGCATAATCTCATTAAAAATAAGAATCTTCTAGATGCAATCATTGAAGTATGGGGTTATTTTCTTTTGTTAAGTTCTAGGGACTCAACTCAGCTAGTGAGTTGATCTGAGGGAAAATGCTTCTTTCTTCTGATACCAAGAAATCAAATATTGAAGGAACAAAAGCTTCCATGAGCTTTGCTAGTAACCTCTGAGGAAGGATGAAAGAAAAGCTGCCACTTGAACACTGCAAGATGGAAAAGGGAAGGAAACTCTGATTTTAAGAGTGCAGGCGACTGGGATGTTAGTGAGAGGTTTACAAGTCTGAATACTGGTCTTTGCAAGCATCAAAGTATTTGTTTGGTAACATAGAGTGCAGCACTTGGCCGGGGGATTGGAACTAGATGATCTTAAGGTCCTTTCCAACCCAAACCATTCTATGATTCTATGTATCTATGATTTTATTGGTCTTTTCTGTTCCCCTTTGCAGTCATCTCATTTATTACACTGGTGTGACTATAAAACACCAGGAAGTGCGTCCTCCTGTATGCAGGCCCACATTACCTGGCAGCTATCCTGTCAAGCTCTCCTGCGACATGAATCAAATCAATAAAGTCTCCCTTCATGAGAGGAAACTATTGACAGTAACCTTTGCATCTCCTTTTCAGAGATCTAAGGTGGTCAAGTCCAACAACTCTTTCCTTTTTCTCAGTTACTGGTAAACCTTTCAGTTTCAACTCTGCCCTCTTAACCAGAAAGCAGGTTTCCCACCTTCTTTTCTTGCCCTTAGTTAGGTTAATTTGGTGTTCTATGTCACCAGTAAGACAGCAGTAGTTTTCTGTGAGCAAAGAGGATCAGGAAGACGTCACTGTGACAGCTCAGATGTGTTCAGAAGTTTATTTTTAAAGAATAGTTCTAGAACTAATATAATAATAATAGTTATAGAACTATTTAGAAGGCTGAGGTTCTTAATGACTTCTTTGCCTCAGTCTTCACCAGCAAATGCTCTGACCACACCACCCAAGTCTTGGAAGGCAAACGCAGGGACTGTGAGAATGAAGACCTTAGGCCCACTGTAGGAGAGGATCAGGTTAAGACCTGATCTTAAGACCATCTTAAGAACCTGAATGTGCA